AAATATCTTTTGTAACTTTAGTAAGAATAATATATTTAATTTACAGTGAAGAATATGCAGTGTTTTTATACATTTTATTACTTTATACAGTGTATGTAGCATTTCTTATTTATTTGTTTAGTCTTTTGTCCTATTGCTTGTAACTAGTTTCTTATTCTTATTTAATCTCAGACAGTTGTCTTCAGTGAGTCTTCAGTTTACTTGCATTTGTCATATTGACAATGGTGACAAGAATTATGACATTTCAATGGTATCAAAAATTTTGATATAATAAGTTGATAAGATGTTATGTAAAGTATTAAACAATACACATGTTGCATTGATCAAAGTTTTTAGGAAAGGACTAAGGAAGCTTGTCGTTTTCTTAAGAAGTTCATTTTTTATAAGCTTCCTAAAATCAGTTTATGGACTCAGTTTTATTGCGTAGAGCCTGTGGGGCTGCTTCCCATTGACTTTCTATGGCACTGTCAGCCACAGGTAGCAAAGCAATAGATGAGCAGAGACCGAGTCCATCTAGTAGTAATCATGACTTAACTGCTCACAGAGGGACTTCAATGACCAAACAATAATAAATTCTGCTTTTCTTTGGGATACACTCCATAAGACAGAGCTGCAATGGATCATATTGTATTGAATGTAGCTGAAAAAAGATGTTCGTCTTCGTCTTGCCAAGAGAAAATCAAAGCACTTATGCACAATCTATCACCGCATGTAAAGAATAGATCCAGACAGTTCATAACGATAAGGCTGTACAGTGCTGGAAAGGATATTGCTAATCATATATCTCTGTCATGTAAACGGTGTAAATACAGCTCGCTGATCCATATAACACTCCCTGGTAGTATCAAATGACAGGTTGATCATTATGAATTAAACATTTTCCTTGAGTCCTTTGTCTTGTCCTTGACAGATCAAGCTGGAATCTCACTGCAGTCCATTCGCACATGCAAATTGGGACATGAGGCTAGTAACTGAGGTTTGACAATGAAAGTCCACCCAAAGACGACTGAGATTAATCAATCAAGTTTAGATGCAACAGATATAAAGCACCTGAGACTATCCGCAACAGATGCATCTATTTTCTATTAAGTGGTCCAATTTTAATCAATCTGCCAAACTATGTAAAAACTAAAATCTACTACCGTGATACTTTACAGGCAATCACTCAATTTTATTGGATAAATGTGTTTTGTTTACAGTTTTTCCAACAGTTCATGTTTGTCTGGGTTCTGCGTCTGATTACGGATTCAGTGCTCCAGACAAAGGATTTCTCCTCCTTTGCGCCAAGACGGATGCTGAAGCTCTGACCAGCCACCATCACACAACAAATAACATTGATTTATTGTCTAAGGGTGCAGTCAATAATTTCACAGCACAGAAACAATAAATAAACCAACATACGATTAAACTCATTCTTAAAAACATTCATTATTCAACAGTTTGAATGACCAGTCCATAATTTTTAGAGTGTAGAGGTCAATAAAAACAGCATAAGATTAAAAAATAATCACACATGACACTCTATATAATAGTAATAATTTGTTAACACAAGTAATTCTTAAATGTCTTAATTTTAACGGAGAAGGTTTTTCCTAATTATACTTTATTTTAAGTGGAATTACATTCTACTGAAGCAGAGGCTTGATAGTGGTGCATGTTATATTTAGTGATGGATATAGCATGAATCTCTCAGAGCTCTTCCCTTTGTTCATAATTCATAAAACAAATGGTGGTTGAAAACCTTGGAAGCCATGGACTGCAGCTGTGTTAAACCTTTCTTAAATGAAGAAAAGGAAGTGCATTTTAAACCTACCTTATATAGTGTGAAATTAATATACATATCTTTCATGATATTGTTTTAATGCTACATATTTAGAGCTATTCAAAGCTACATTGTATGCTTATAGCTTATTATATATTTAATAAGAAGAATCAGAAATCATGACTATTTTATAGAATCAGAAATCATGACTATTTTATATATTATATGCTGTTGTATCAAGCCTCGTTCTAAAATTTCACTCAAAAGAAAAAAGAAAAAGATTTTACTGCAGAAATTATTTGAACTACTACACTCAGCAAATGAATTGCCGCAGACATAAAGTGGGTGAGCAGACTAATTACATCAAATGACCTTTCTGGCTTAATCCCAAAAAAGAAAAACTTAAGAAAGAATTTAGGTGAGTTTACGTAATGTAACTTTCTGTTATACTATAACAGAATATAATATATCGATTTTTTAAGGTGATTTCTCCTTCTTTGTCCCAAATGTTTGACAATGCTCCAGATGCACTCATTGTGAGAGTGTCAAGAAACAAGAATAAAATCACAATGAACTGAAATATAAAAAAGGAAAATACTAATAAATACATCTAAACATAAACATGTCTGGATGTAAAAGCTGCCAATGGTTCCCTCATTAATAAATATCAAAGAACATGAATAGACAAATGATGTATATCATATTACATGCTTCAATGGAAAAATTGCAATAAAAAAATTAATGAATAAATAAATAAAATTACTAACTAACTAACTAGCTAAATAAAAAGCATTTAGCAATTTATTTTACAGACACATTACTGTTTCACCTTAGGTCTGATACGGTTTAAATATATATATATATATATATATATATATAGATCATTTAACTTAAGCCTTTAAACAACATTTCATAGCTTGCACAATATTTACAACTACAAACTGTTCAAATCAAATAACCCGCTTAAGTTTTGCTCCAACTGGTACCTCCGAGTTGCTTCACAATCTCTGGGACGCAACTACGAACTACATGCACCAAGAAAAAAATCATAAATAAATCTCTTACCTCGTACTGAATGTATTGTTTCCTCCATTCTGGAGTAATATGGGCAGACAGGTGCTCCGCAAACTTCATGCTGGCGGAGCAGATATCCACAGTCGGACTATAATAATATCCTCGGGTCGGGCAGCGTCTTCTTTTGGGGCTTTTGTTATTTTCTGTCACTAAGTTACAGAGCCGCATGCGTTGTCTAAATCCTGCCCGGTCTATCACAGTCCACTATTCCCCGGTCCCACATATTACCCCGTTCAAAGTGAAACCCGCTACAAAAAGGGACTAGAAGTAACCTCCTTCTACTTCCCAAAACAGGTGCCTAAATGACAGCGCTACAGCCCCGGTGCGGGCGTCTCTGGGAAGTGACTTTCTCTCTGCGGACTCTCTGGGCGTCTGTGAAGTAGCTGTTGTCCGCCATCAGCGTATGTGCGTCACAGCGCGCCCTGAGGTGCTTTTAGAAATAGCTGCTTGGGATTAATCTTATCATGCTTTTTGTCTTAATATTTAGAAATAAAAGTACATATTACTTTTTTAGATACCTTTTTGTTATTAATGTACATTTTCTATTGATTTTCTTTGAATTGAAAGGGTACAATTGTTTTGTAATAAGTATAATATGGTATATTATTTGTAATATATATATTATCTTACATATAATTTGTTACGCCATTTATTACTAATTCGTTATATTTACTGTGTCGTCAAATGTATGTAGCCTATCTGGTCTAGAATGATTTTTACAGGCTAGAAGGAAACAAGTAACAATAAACTCAAAAAAAAAAATCCTATTTATATGATTTTCTTTTATTTGCAAATTAATCTCGTGATAAGCCTTGCTGGCCAATTCTGCGTTGGCAACTGCTGACAAGCTTTTTGTGGAAGCTCACACTCTAAAAAATGCTGGGTTAAAAAGGGACAAACACAGCTATTGGGTTGTTTTGCCCCAGCTGTTGGGTTGTTTTAACCCAGCTATTGGGTTGTTTTAACCCAGCTATTGGGTTGTTTTAACCCAGCTATTGGGTTGTTTTAACCCAGCTATTGGGTTGTTTTAACCCAGCTATTGGGTTGTTTTAACCCAGCTATTGGGTTGTTTTAACCCAGCTATTGGGTTGTTTTAACCCAGCTATTGGGTTGTTTTAACCCAGCTATTGGGTTGTTTTAACCCAGCTATTGGGTTGTTTTAACCCAGCTATTGGGTTGTTTTAACCCAGCTATTGGGTTGTTTTAACCCAGCTATTGGGTTGTTTTAACCCAGCTATTGGGTTGTTTTAACCCAGCTATTGGGTTGTTTTAACCCAGCTATTGGGTTGTTTTAACCCAGCTATTGGGTTGTTTTAACCCAGCTATTGGGTTGTTTTAACCCAGCTATTGGGTTGTTTTAACCCAGCTATTGGGTTGTTTTAACCCAGCTATTGGGTTGTTTTAACCCAGCTATTGGGTTGTTTTAACCCAGCTATTGGGTTGTTTTAACCCAGCTATTGGGTTGTTTTAACCCAGCTATTGGGTTGTTTTAACCCAGCTATTGGGTTGTTTTAACCCAGCTATTGGGTTGTTTTAACCCAGCTATTGGGTTGTTTTGAACCCAACCACTGGGTCAAAACAACCCAACAGCTGGGTTAAAACAACCCAATAGCTATGTTTGTCCCTTTTTAACCCAGCATTTTTTAGAGTGCAGTATTGCAAAACTTATTGTTAGACATTACTAATTATTTTTCTTTGTTATAACATACTGTTAATATTAATACTGCTTATGACATGATATGTAGATATGTAGATATAACATGCAAAAATTATATAACTTATACACATAGGCCCTATGTTTTGTCAAATGGGATGATGGCAGTGGTTTATTTCTTGGGGGGGAAAAGTGTTTTATAAGTTCAGTTGTAGCTGGCCTACTTTTCTCATAAAAAAGAACATATACTACTATCAAAGGGAAAGACAATCTTCACAAATATATCAATATGTTTTATATGCTATTAAACAGATGGATATTAATCAGGATTAAAATGGCATTAATGTTTCGAGTATACTGCAAAGCAAAATAAAGTTAAAACCAGCCATCCAGCAGTCCATCTGAGCCCTTCACTCTAGTCCATGTAGAATCTGCTTACTTACATTTAACTGATATATTGCTTGCTGACTCAAGGTCATAGAGACCTGATTTATGCCCCTTAAGAGGCCTGCATTCCTGCTTTATGTTGTTATATTTTAGAACACCAGGGTGGCACTTATAGCTTCTGGGCAACACAGGGAAGTATAAAAAACATTTTTTGGACTACTACTACACTCCAAGCCAGAAATGTGCAAGGAAATGTAAGATAAAAATTCGCTCAGGAAAATGTGATTTGTGTGCCATCTTGTGGACTTTGTCTGATTTGTAAAAAATATGCGCAGAAATCCCTGTTAAGTGCTAAAAAAAAATATCAAGAAAAGAGCAAATAAGGTTTGTTGCAAACCATATAATGTAAATTACATTTTTGTATCTCTTCTGTGTTTAAATTGAAATTCTTTCAAAATTTTGAAACGATGGCCAATACTTGATAGTAATATAGTAATACAGTATAGTAAAATATATAGTGAGAGATTGAATCACTAGAATCATATCTATGGATTTAATAGATAATACATATAAAAGTTCTAGTATGGTAGCAGTATTCCATTCCACACATCAAGCGTCTACTGTAAAACTGGTAGGACCTAAAAACCGTTGGAACTGTTAGCAGCAGTCGCAGGACGCACTCGTGCCTATTATTGTGACGTACCATTCACGGACCAATTCTCAAAACAAGTCCGACTGAATCGGATTACGGATAACGTACTATAGCAGTCAACTGCCTGCGCTGTTTTTATTATAAATTAATAATAATTAAGGTAAAATACTGTTGATTACCCCTATAAGATATTTAAATTCTTTTCAATGGCGTCTAGATCTCCGTCCTCCTCCCCCGACTCAGCGACGGGCTCCGGTACTGATCCAGCACGGCCTGACACCGGAGAGCCGCTCGGTGGAGGATCCGATTCGGATTCAGATTTCGGATTAGGGAAATTTGATTGTGGTGCTGGGGATACAGCGCTTCGATTAGAAGGAGCCGATCTAGAGAATGAGTTTGAGGCGGCAGCGGACCGGGTCAGAGATCTCGTGCAGACAGCGAGTAGAGAGCAGCTGCTGTATCTGTACGCCAGGTTCAAACAGGTAAACCCAGCCTTCTTGTTATTGACATAGTTTATGATACTGTAAAATCATGATACATTAATATGAGATCACCTGCAGACACGATACGAAGCTAGGAGATTGTCTGGCATTTTACTTTTGTTTAATAGTAGTGGCTTATACAAACCCGATTCCAAAAAAGTTGGGACACTGTACAAATTGTGAATAAAAACAGAATGCAATGATGAGGAAGTTTCAAATTTAAATATTTTATTCAAAGTACAACATAGATGACATATCAAATGTTTAAACTGAGAAAATGTATCATTTTAAGGGTAATATTACTGAATAACACATCCAGAAGAGAGCAGTGTCTGATTGTGCAGTTGTTGTGGTTGTGCATCATCCTCAAACAGCTTGTAGAAAAATATCCCATGTTGAGAATAATACTCAGAAGATATCAGAAATAGAGTTGCTACATTTCTATGCCTTTTCTATTGGAACTGTAGATTCATGTTCATTATGCTTATATCAATGATGCAGGTTTAAGACCAGCCTGCAATGTGTCTGCAATTTATTACAGTTTTATTCCTACAGTAAATTCCAAATTATACAGACCAACACCTATAAAAAAATAATATCCAAATATATTTTGAGTCGTTTAACTCAAACCCTTTCCTTTACGTTTAATTTTCTCTACCTTTACTCTTTTCCTTTCTCTTTTGCTTTTGTATTCTTTCCATATCTATCTTCTCTCTGCCTTATTGCTTTTTACCCATAATCCCCATGTCAGAACAGACACATCCCTTTCACTGATTCTGCTGCAGGTAACACAATCTGACTGCCATCCAGACAGACAGCACAAAAGCACATAAACAAATTCCCCACCTTACAGAATGAACTGATTGTGTTAGTGTGTTAAAAGAGGGCAGGAAGCTCCATTACGAGATGGAGATATAGAGCCGGGGAGGGAGGTTAGACAATACTCCTGTGCACTTCTGTTGTTATATGCACCTGCTTTGGAGGAACAAAAGAAAAGTGCTCGAATTTATGGTATTTTAATACAAGCCTGCAAGTGTTTCTCCAAACCTGTTCAGATGAAGAAACAAACTCATCTTGGAAGGCCTGAGGGTGAGTACATTTCAAACAACTATTAATTTTTGAGTGAACTACTCCTTTAAAACCTTTAAAAGGATCTCTAGGCTTCATTTGCTGGCATTATGAAAATTTCCTGTTTCTTCTTTGTGTGTGACATAATTCTTTGTGTCTTTCTTTCAGTCATCAGAGCGAAGAGGAGGAGAGAAGCGAACTGGATTCGGCGGGCCAGCGGTTAGCTCTCTATACCAAGAGGAAAAGATAAGGTAACATAAGTCCTGCTTATGAATATAAAGATTTTATTATAATTTCCTTCAGTTTTTTTTTATTTGATCCAGTGATCACTCTTGCATCAGTGTGGCATAATTCATTTTCTTGCTCATGGAACTCACATATACCAGACGCCCCGTAATTAAGGGCTGAATTCACATGGTTTTACCTCTCTTAAATTAACAGTATTAGTATGCATGCATAGGGGGTGAAGAGGCCTCAGGAAGCGGTAGAGTTTAATTACTTTTTTTATGATTATATCGATGATAAGAATGTAAAATGGATCCAGGCATGGATGGATGAAAGTATCAATGCAACAGGGGTTCATTCCCCAATTTGACGTGTCCCAGGAGAATGTGAGTCATTCATTGGGGACGGAAAAGCAAAGAGGCAATTAACATCCCGTTCCCCCTCCTCTCCTCCCATTTGTCGCTCGCTGAGCGGCCCATTTCGTGCGTGACCCAATCAGACTGCCATGCAGACTGCTTCGCTGCTTTCCAATTTCCAAGCTCGGTGATTGATAGCCCTCCTGCATATTCAAACCTCTCGTTAGCATTTGATTAGAGAGTGTTAATGGCTTCTGCATTGCCCGATTGCTAAACCAGATGACCTGTAACTCCAAGGCCATCTCATTTAAAAAATTTTTTTTTAGCTTAAACTCACTTGGGAAACAGCAGCTGATAAGTTGCATAACCCTGTGCTTCTGCAGGAGTCAAGAATGAGGAATATTTCTCCTCTGAAGAATGCATGATAGAGAGGTGTCAGTTTCAGAATATCGGGCTATTTTGGAGGGCGGTGATTGTTTGGACAAGGTGTGGCGTGTGTTTGTGTGTCAGCTCTACCTGTCACTGATTGATGGTGTTAAAGGAATAGTTCACCCCAAAATGAAAATTCTGTCATCATTTACTCACCCTAATGTTGTTCAAACCTGTTTGACTTACTTTCTTTGTGGAACATATGATATTTTGGTAACCAAAAAAGTTTCAGGTTCCCACTGACTTCCATTGTATGTACAGAAATACAATGAAAATCAATGGGAAATGTTTGGTGAGTAAAAAATGACAGACTTTTCATTTTTAGGATCTCTTTAGCATGGCCTGGTGAGCATGAAAGACTCATGCTGTGTACTAAAGAGTTGTTTGTTATATTGTAATATCTGTTTTTTAATATTTGAAGATTTACACAGATTCACATCTATAATCTGCATTGGAGTCTGTGTGTGAAAACATCAACATAGATCTTTTGTTTGATCTCTCACTAGTCAGAAAATGTTGATGAAGCGGTGTGGAATGACAGAGTAGCCAGTGACCTTCCCAGCATTCTCAGCGGCATCGCTGATGCCATGTCGTTTATCAGTGGGCTATTAATCAAGTGTAAGCGTGTGCTTGTGTGCGTGTGTGTACTCGGGCTTTAGAAGCACAGACCAGCATCAGTCTGACGAATGAGCAGTTTTATTGATTAGTTGCCCCGGGAGACGAATGATGCCCACATGGCACAGACACACTGGGTCATGGTAAGACCACACACACTTACATATTCAGCCTTATTTTCTACAGCGGAGATAAGGCCAGGTTTACTGCACGCATATATAGGCAAAAAATAGCTTAATTTAAACTACATTTCTTACTCCAGTATCCATTCTGACATAGTAGTTTTTTATATAAATTTAGCATATTTAACTTTAATTTTGAAAATAACAAAATTAAGGCCAAATTAAAATAAATATTAATTTAATATTAATAAAATAAATATTAATTATTTATTTATAATTTTTTTATTAATTAAATAAATAATAATTAATTCATTATAATTTTTTTCATTCATATTTATTTTATATATTTTAATATAATAAAATAAATTCTTAAATTCCAGGCCATTTTTTGTACTTTATTTGTGGAATCTGCTATAAATGTTTTTGTCTTACTGTGAGTAGTTTATTGAATTTTATGTAGATTTGTAGATTAATGTATTGACGTATTTTGTTCAGAATATGAAAATAATCTGTTTGTCACATACCTTTTCCCCTACAGTATGTATATGTTTAATATGTATTATATTTATTATTTATTTTGTGTCAGTGTATTGATTCTATAACATTGAAATACTCTGTACTGCATTGATTCACTCAGAAATCAGTTCATTTAGGTTGGCCAATCTGTCTATTTCCTGTGTCTCTCAGGCACAAAGGTCCCGTCCGCTGCCAGTCTCATCTGCCCTTGCCCTGTAATGACAGTGAGGGGCGGCCACACAATAGTGCTCCAAATGCAATTAATCTGCCATCCTGCATGGGCAAGAGGGGCAGGGGTAAATCTCTTAATGAGATTTCTCCAGCCAACTGTACCTCATCCCCTATAACCCTTTTCTTTCTCTCTCTTGATCTCTCGCTCTGCCCTGCCTGGCTTGGCCCAAATGCCACAAGGTGATTAGAGAGGAAAATAATTAAAACTGCTGTGGTGAGCGCCAGGCTCCTGAGAATGCGCATCCACAGAGGTGGATAAGCATGTGACCATGAGACGCCTGCCAGTAACATGATTTTGGCGGCACCTGTGCACATCAGTTTAGCCCCGTTTAGTCTGGCATTATCTTCCTTCTTGGGTGATCACTCAGCAATATATATTTATTGGGCCTAGAATTTCTAGCGACAGCCCTGACCCTGGTTATGTAATATATTTAATATTAGACTATTGCGTTTCTTAATTCTTTACTACGATTTAATGCTATTTCAAATGTTCTTTAATTGATTTCTATGAAATCTCGTAAAAGGTTTGGTGTGATCATTGCTTTACATTCTTTCAGAGTATTTTCTCTCTTGTTGTGTTTGACTTTAGGGAAGAGGACAAAAACATTTTTGACTATTGCCGAGAGAACAACATCGAATATGTCAGCGAGGCCATCAGCTCCAAGAAAATGGAAGTGAATACAAGAGATGAAGAGGTAGGCTTTTCATTGTTTAAATTTATGAAATAAATAGAATGATACATTTATCAAATGTAATAAAATTTTACATATTTTCACATTTTATATAATTTGCTAATAATACATTATTATTATAAATTATACAAAACATTTTACAGCATTAGAAGGATTTCTGAAGGACTCTGAAGACTGGAGTAATTGCTGCTGAAAATTCAGCTTTGCCATCACAGAAATACATTTAATTTAATATATATTAAAATAGAAAACTGTTACTTTAAATTGTAAAAATAGTTCAAATTATAACTGTTTTTACTAGGGTGACCATACGTGCCATTTTCCCAGGACACGTCCTGGCCAGGATTTCTATATTGCCTAAAATATCTAGGTTTTGGCTTTGTTTGCATGTGCAGACCGATCGGTGTATGCCATCAAAATACCTCGAGAGCATTTTGAAAGCATAAGGAACCGCGTCCTGGGAAAATGGCACATATGGTCACCCTAGTTTTTACTATATGTTTTGGTCAAATAATTTCAGCCTTTGAGCGTGATACCTTCAAAAACATCTTACAGATAGTATTATTTTATATAGTAGTATTTTTTACTATTATTTTATGTAATATATATATATATATATATATATATATATATATATATATATATATATATGTGTGTATGAAAATTATGTTTTTTTTTTTGCGTAGGGACCCTGTGAATCGAAGCACAGCATCTATCTTTCACCCTACTTCTCTCTCTCTATCCGTGCATTTCCGACACATCTAAAACTCCAAAGGTCACTGGATGCACCATCCACCCACTCAACCCATTTTTATTCATGTATCATCGTGACCAACTGGCCCGTTTCATTTCTTTCAGCACTCCAATTCTGAAAGTGGGGAACCAGTTGGCTCACCATCAGGTCGGCCAGATGGCAGCCATTGTCAATCCACCATTGTTTGTCCTGCTAGTGCAGTTCAACAGATTAACCTCTAGAGGGCACTATTGAATTTTAAAATCTGCTGTATTTATGTACATGTACGTATATATGTATTATGTATGTTTCTGCCATCTTCCCATCTTCCACTTTGCGCTTGTGGTCAAGCTGTGCTACATGCTCGAGGTCATACCTGTGAGAAATGAGGCCTCGCTTCCAACCTGAAGTCCTAAACACCGACAGCGTGGCTTTGACTCGCTGCAGCATTCAGATGTGACGTATGCGCTCTGTTCTAAACATAATGCCATTTGATGTTTTCAGCAGAGGCTGTTGCCAGTGGTTTAATTTGGGCTGAGATGAGCTTCACGGCTGCCATTTGACCTCCTACCACTCGGCCCGTCTCTGCAGGGGTCAAATACATTACCCTTAATGTACAAGTGCAGCTGAGTGCAGGGCAGTGAGGAAATAATTTCAATGATGATGACAATAGATCAGGATAAACTGGAAAACTTGGGAGTTATTCCATGTGGGATGATAGTGGATGGTGACCAGAGGGGTGCTGGGACCTGGGGGATACCACACGCTTTACACTTCGCTACTGGAGAGATGATAGAAAGGATTGCACAACCATGGCCACACACTGAAGGTGGACGTGATTATTTAGGGTTGCCCTTGTGTTTGGCAATCTGAGAGACACGCTGACTGATTATGCTGTAGTTCCACATGATTCTATAATCTGAAAAACTGCTTTGTCTTAAAAATACTTGCTCAAAGATGACAGTTTTATCTATACTCGCTAATATTTCCACAATGATGTTATGAAAAGTTATTCATATTGAGCCTTTACTTTTATCATTCTTATTTACTACAACTACTACTACTGTTATTTATAAATGACAGTTTAAATAATATTTTGGACATGTAAAGGGGGCTTTAAATGTTTGAGAAAATATGATTTTTATATTACATTATATTGTTATATTATATTATATTATTTTAATTTAATTTGAAACAATTAAAGACATGAATTATCTTAAACTCGTTTGTAAAAAAAAAAAAGGTCAGATTTATTTACTTGAAATTGATTATTTATTTATTAGAATTTTTAATAATTTTTCTAATAATATAATATGTAATGGAAAAAATACTATTATAATAATACATATACTAATTGTAAGTATTTTATTAGTGGTCTTAGACTTTTGATGATGCTATAATAGTAATAATAATATGAATGTTATTTATAAATGATAAATAGTAGGATAATAAATAGTTTATTTTTTTCGATATACAGTTGGGTCCAAGTGTTTTACATTAATTACATTATATAGGAATTTAAAACAGTTAAGGAAATTGTCTATATTACATTTATTTTTTAAATTCAACAGTATATTTCAAAGTACTGTGATATTACAATCTCATACCATCACTCTACCACCACATTCTGAATTAGATCATGTTAACTGAAAACAACAGCGCTCTAACACATGCACTTACATCTGACACATCGAAGAGCTTTTCCTAAATGGTCAGTGTGAATTTAGGTGTTTCTTCTGCTGCTTTGTTATGACATGCATTGTGTGTCATGTTTTTCTGTCTTATTATGGTGATGCCTTAAATGCCCTGTGGACGACAGGTCTACACACGCCTCTGATAGGCACGAGCCCCTCCAACTGAACAAAAGAGGGCTGGACTCATTTGTGCAAATGTCCCAAGAATTTCTTGCTTTCCTTTTCTCTCTCTGTTTGTGCTGGAACAGCCCCATCAATTACAGGCAATTGAGCCGGCAGCTCTCCACCCTCTTTGGCAAGGACATTGTAAAGCAAGAGGTTTCCTATTCATCTGCTCTGAGCCCTGCTCAATGTACCGCCCCGCAGTAGAGTCCATGCCTGTCACACTTAATCCACAGCTCTCACCCGGGACAGGAAGGTGTAATCAGTGGGATTTCTATATCTTTACTGTTTCTACAGCTCTTCCGCATAGCTGGAAGGAAATTGGGGAAGATGATATAGTTATGTTTGCTGAGACATTGTCACCGGAAGGATGATTTTAGCCTTTTCTGCATTCACAACTTAGTAGAATTTCTTAATTACTGAGTGTTAAATGTCCTAGGAAATCATTTGTTTCAAAAACAACATGGAATCGTACATGTCTTTATTTACAGCAAAATACTTAAGTTATTCAAAATTTCATTAAATTCATATATATATATATATATATATATATATATATATATACATACTACCTTTCAAAAGTTTGGGGTTTATACATTTTTTATTTTTTTATGTTTCTGAAGTGTCTTATGCTCACCAAGGCTGCATTTATTTTATTAAAAATACAGTTAAAATAAAAATTTTAAATAACTGTATTATATTTGAACATAATTTAAAATATAATTTATTCCTGTGATTGCAAAACTTAATTTTCAGCAGCCAGATGTCATTCTAATATGCTGATTTGGTGCTCACGAAATATTTAAAACAGTTGTGCTTCTAAATATCTTTGTGGAAACTGATAATTGCTACATAAAATGATTAATTTCTTGGGGGGAAAAAATTTACTGACCCCAAACTGACCTAATTATTATTAAAGTCATATCTTTATAACTTACAGTGACTTTTTACTTTGCATTTGCAGTTTACTTTATTTCTCATAATGGCAACTTTTCTTATTTTATATCTAATTTTACTATTACCTAATTTCAAGGCAGAAACAAGTTATGATAAAATGACATATGAAATTGAAAAAGATTTAGCAGCAGCTTTCTAACTACTTTTAGCTTTTTAAACCACTTTTTAAATCATTTAGGTTGTTATTTGTATCTTCTAATTACAAGTTTGACAAAAACATAGTTGGTAACTCAGTTTTGGTCAATCCAAAATGATGTGATATAATACAATGGGTGTAATAATAATACAATGGTGCTCTAATATATACTATGGTATATACTCATGTGTGATTCTTTTCTTTTTACTTTAAAAATATAATATCTAGAAGCCATGGTATTATCATGGCACCATGTCCAAAAAGCCATTGTAGTACAATTTGTTAATCAAGGGCTACGGATCCAGAGAATGGTGTGTCTTGGGAGTAGAGTAGGAGAAAATACAAATGTTTGGCTATATCTCTGATGAAAATTTGACAAACAGTCCAGGGGACACCCTCCTCTCCAAAAAGAAAAAAAACTCTTGTGGTGTAAGGCTTCAGACTCTCTCATAAATATCAATTTTAACATGCAGCAGTGGAGATCAATATCATTTCAGCCATGGAATACGACTTAAGGAGTTGGCTTTATCTAATTGGCCTTCACTGAAAAATGAACTCTGCAGGCTTGATAGGGACAAGTGGCTTCAGGCCTGGGGGGCGGGGCTGGTGATCAAGGGTCTGCTCTCTTTTTGTCCCCAGAACCGCATCAATCACTGCTAAAGAGTCTCCCGTCCCACTGCAATTTGTTTCTGGAGCGCCCATGATCTTTCCCTCCCACAATGCCCTTCTCTCTCGCCTGCACGGTGGCCAGAGAAGAACTCATCCTGTCAGCACGTCGTTAAATAGTTGGGTCTAAAGGCTCTGAGTTATAAATTGTTGTGCATAATTTATTTTTTCTGGAGGAGAGAAATCTATTGTGAAGTTAACTTTACAGAGGTCCGCATAACAAAAGGGAATAAATGAATGTGTTAGAGGTGAAGAGGGATTCATCCATCTGAAGGACTCGACCTGTAGGTTGTGTGGTCTGTGGACACGTCTATGGTTTTGGGTTGCAGAGGTCCTTTGCAAATACGGGATGTTATTGAATATTCTCCACGCCTCTTGGCTGGTGCTCATTTTTATGCACCGTATCAAAGCCGGAAAGAGAGTTTATTAAATAATTGTATCTAAATGAGAGTAAGGGATTGAATTATGGGATTGAACACCCTAGATTGCCTAAAAGACGTATAGTGCATTGTCTGAAGCAAAACCGAGCCGAAAAATTGAAACTGTCTGCGCAGAGATTTTGTATCTGTATCCACCATGAGTTTTACTCTGTGAAGTTTGATGGTAATGAATTATTTGTGTGTTTCAGGGCCGGGCTCTCCTGCACTGGGCGTGTGACAGGGGCCACAAAGACCTGGTGTCTCTACTCTTGCAGAACAACGCTGATATCAATAGCCAGGTGAGTCTGTAAACACACATTAAGACATTCTGGCTGATCAACAATGGCTATCGTATTCATGCTATAGCTGAGAACCGATGTGATGGCAAATAAGTATTTTGTCCATCAACAAACACAGATTGACAAATGAAATTGCAAAATCGATTGCTGTGAACTATAGACAAGTAATGGGTTTAGGCTCAGTGATATGGAATAAAACAAACAATATATTGGTTTTGAATATTTAATGGCGCATGCTCATTTTCTATATGTTTACATTTTAGATTACTCTTGCCCTCTTTTAAATCTCAGTTATGTTTTAAAATTGCTAATCATTAGTCTGGTTACTGATTTTATACATATAAATGTGCCTTTATTTATTTAGATTTAGATTTTTTGTTTACAAGTTTAGTGTCTTTAAGATGTTTATGTTTTTCAAAGAAGTTTCTTAAGATCACCAGGGCTGTATTCATTTGATCAAAAATGCAAAAACATAATATTATAATTAAGTTTCTTATGCTCAAGAAACATTTCTTATTATTTTCAATGTTGAAAACCGTTTTTGCTGCTTAATATTTTTATGGAAACTGTGACAGACTACCATTTTAAAGTTTGGTGTAAGAAAGTAAAAAAAGGAAATTAACATATTTATTCATTTTTATTCAATTGCAAAATGGATTGCTGCAAATTGTTAGACAAGTAATGGGTTTCGGTTCATTGATATGGAATAAAGCAAAAAAATATAAACTTCTGAGATTCATGGAATTAATTTCATGAATTAATCTGCATATTATGCAATTCATTTATTGCATTTTTTTATTTATTTGATAGTCCTAATATTTGACCAATACTGGATCCAATATGGTGACAAATATATTGTGTATTCTGGGTGCACAATATATTGGTTATAGGTCGATATGAGAGTTTTCTTTTATTTACTGTATCAGTTGATAATGAATATTTAATTGTGCATGCTCATTTCCTAGATTTTAACATTCAGATTACCTTTGCTGTCATCTTAATCTAAATAATGCAACTAAAGTTAATTTAACTTCAAAAACCCTAATAATTTAATAAGAGTCTTAAATGTAATTTTCAGCAAATCGCAAAATTGTGCGAAATACTGTGAACTTCTATATATTTTGTATAGAAGTACATATTTTACTTTTTGATCCCAGAGCTGATAGAAACTCCTCATCGCTAATCTAGGAGAACCGTGAACTGGGAAGTCCTGCTGCCATCCTCCATCCCTGAGCTTAGCAGCGGCTGGACTTTAATTATTTAGAGATATCGTATCAGCATCTCGGTGGGCGTTAAGCAACACACTATAAGCAGGTAGCTGTATTTAAAAAAAAAAACACTACAGGTCATAATGGCAGATTTGGCTTTGTTTTAAGCTGGCTGAATACTGCATTGGGAAATTAATACGGTGAAGTACAGTTATGCGGTCACTGGCTTGATCTGATTCTCGCTAAGACAAATCAATTGGAAGTAATCAGCCAAATTGTTTGCATTATACAACCCATATAATCAGAACATTTGCAAATGACTCTCTTTTTTTATTATTTTATTTATTTATTTATTTTTTGGTGGCTGTAGACCTTAATTGTGTGGGTGGAGAGAAAATGCTTGGCCTAGACAACAACAATCAATGCTGTTCTATTGTTGTATTTTAACAGTTAGACTAATGTGAAATCCCCACTAGAGCTGAAATAGACAACATAACGTGATAGTAGATGTAACAGACATTTTATCACCGGCCTTGTATAGCATAAATATATACTACAATTTATTATTTAATATTTTATAATATGTGAAAATAAATACATATATATTTTGGAGCCAAGCGTTGTATTTCCTTGGAAATAAAATCATGACTTGAATTTGGACATAAATTGGCCTGTTTTTGTTGCTTCTTTTTGGATCAGCCTTATAGAGTCTACAGAATTCCTTCAAAGTTCTTTTGGGTTACTGCACTGACCAGCAGAAGGGGAATATTGTGGACTACAGCAGGAGAATTATTGAGGGCAGATTTATTAAGTAGCGTTCAGGTGGCATGAGAGAAAATATGGCCGTATTAAATCATGCTACTGCTCCTGCCAAAATTATTATCCTATGTTAATACTTTCAGGAAGTGTGATTTGATAGCAATATAAAACTTCGTAGCCACTCATTAGGTTCAAGTGTGAGCCATGACTGCATTTGAAAAGCACACAAAGAAAAAAACAATAGCTCAGTTTAGATGTCTTTTCTTATTCATAAATGTTTCCTGATACTTATACATTCATATTTTCCAAGTGACTTTGATTATATAAAATCTAAGACTAAAGGTAGAACATTATAAATGAAAATATTACAATAGAGCAATAATGGGTGAGCCATGAACTGTGAGCGAGGGCAGCGTTTTCACGCATCTGTGCTATGATCCGATTTCAGCTTAGTGTCGAATAAAGATAAAAGTGGTTTATATTTTTAATTTGTTGATTGAAAATGGAGGAAGGGAGAAAAAAGGCTATTATGTCTTCAATGAAAATTGTATTGAAATTAATCAGCTGATGGATGCGGTGGTCGTGGAGAATGTGGTAGTTTGAATATGGTGGTGTTTTGGTGTAATCCTGGATCAAGGGGAACCACAATAGGAGCAAAAAGTCCCCTTGTTCTCTCAGATTAGCTCATATGCCACCTGTCAACAGCCACCTGGACAACATCACAACGACACAACATATATTCAGTTCTCTCTGCATAATTGAACAGAACTGGGACACATGGGAGAGTTTGGGGGGATCCGTTTTTCACGCTCATAGAATGTAGTTCATGTGTGGTAGAGTCAGATTTGTATTGGTAAAGTCTGGTTTCAGGAGTTCATGCATCTGTTGTTTTCAACTGCACTGCAGAGGAAGTAGAACACAATCAACTATGGACAGGTGTTCTTGTGCATGAGAGTCTATATGAGAGGCCTGATGCATCAAAACCTTAGTATTCGCATTATAATCAATGAAGCTGTCTATAATGAAAACATCCATTGTGCTTTTGTCATCATGACATGCTTTTATTTTTTTACATTTCTGATGTTTGAAATTAGTTGGATTTATTTATTTACAAATATCATATGTGTTGATGGTTTTGCATGAAATTCATTATTTAAAAAAAATAATAAAAAATCGTCTAACTACTAACCGTTAGTTTTATCCATATACTGGAAAGATGTTTAATGTTTTCGCAAGATATCTCTATTCCTCACCTAGGCTGCATTTATTTGATTAAAAAATACAGTAAAACAGTAATATCATGAAATATTACAATCTAAAATATATTTTCTATTTAAAGTGTAATTTATTCATGTGTTGGCAAAGCTGATTTTTCAGCAGCCATTACGTCAGTCTTCAGTGTCACATGATTCTTTAGAAATCATTCTGATGCTGATTTGCTGCTTAAAAAACAATATTATACATGTTGAAAACAGTTGTGCTGCTTAACATTTTTGAGGAAACTGTGATATATTTTAAGATTCTTTGATAAATATAGTTCAAAAGAACAGCATTTGTCACTTTTGATAAGTTTAATGCATCTTTACTGAATAAAAGTATCAATTTCTTTAAAAACGTTTGAATGACAGTGTATATTCTACATGTTGTAGCAGTACCTCAAGCTCACAGCTGATTGGTCCATGTTAGTGAGCAACTTTGATACTTTCAGTGTGAACAGCTGCTGATGCAGGATCCAATTTTCTGTGAATACCAAACAGAACACAAACAACATTTATTAGAGATTTGATTCATAGGTGTTGGTCAAGCTCAACTTATTACTGCAATTATGCACCTCCTAGTTGTATCTTCGGTCTTAAAATGGATGTATACAAACACACACAGTTCTAAACTGTTCTTTATTCATTCAGGGGCAGATGTTTTGCACGTTATTTGCATGTTAAACAATGCATGGGACATAGAGCTTAATGAGCTTAACACCACAAAGCATGTTTTGAGTCTCAAAGGCCTGACTAATGAGCGCTTCTCTCAAACAAAGAAGCATGCTTTAGGTGAAACTTCTGTGAAAATATAAAACATTATGATTAGCACTCTGTATAATGTTTATTTTTTGCATTGCTTGGAAGGCAGCAAAAAAGTGATTTTTCAAAGTTGTAAATTAAACTTATTGGATTATAAGAAAACATTTCAACTTCAAAATTCCATGTTTAATTCAGTGTGTTACTAGCTGTTTCTTTTTAATTAATTGCTAAATTTATTAGCAATTTCTGAGCTCATAAATGGTTTCTACAAATATTACAAATATTCTGTCCCAAGTATAAATGTTCCACAGTTAATTTAGTTTGAATCGCTTTATGTACAGGCTAAGTTCAAACATTGTTTTGTAGATCATTTCCGTCTTTGACATAAAACTTGGTACACTGTATGTAAAAAAAGTAAATAAAAAGATACGTTAATTTATAAAATAAAATAAATTTCAGTCTTCTTTAAAAATTCACTTTTAACTCAATGTGTTACTTGCCGTTTCTTTGTAATTGTGAAAAGTACTAGCGATTTTTGAGTGAAAATTGTTTCTACACCAATTTTTTCTCATTGTAAACGTTATAGTTTTTAAGAAATTTGAGACTGAAGATTTAAAATTCGAAGTTTCATCTAAGCATTCAAAACAGACAGTGACAGACAGAGATGACGGCATCATAATTTATGCAAGCTAAATTGCAGTTGATCTTCCTTCTTAAGTCTGTTTGCATACTGATTTGTGATTGGTCATTAATTCATAATAATTTATACTATGTTTTGCTGCCTCAAAAGTGCATTATGATTTGGAAATGCAAGCAAGATTTTTATATAGTCAGTTTGGTATTTTAACTCATTTGCCAGTCAGATGTATTGTGAACTTTTTTGAAACATCAAGTTTAATGCAGTTTTAATATTTAGCCTGAACCACTGCTTGCTTGCTTTTTTGCATTGTTAATTCTCTGTCTTTCTCTCTCATCTTTGTCCTTCCTCTCTCGGTGTGCGTTTACTTATGAAAAC